AGTATATGGAATGTTGCATTTCAGTAAGTGAGTTTATCGTGAAATACCAGTTACACTAAAAGACTACTGTACATTGTTCACTTTTCGGTGACTGATACTGATCGCAAGAGACGAGAAGGTTTCCAGTCATTCATTTATTATATATTATTATTATTGTTCTCTTGGGTTCCTAGTGGAACATAGGGCTTCAACTGCACGTCTCCACTTGTTTCTGTCTTCTGCTGTACTTTTCACCTGCATCCATGTTAGTCCATACTGTTTCAACTCTTCTTCACATTATCTCCTCCATGTCACCCTTGGACGTCCCACTCGCCGCTTCCCTTTCGGGTTCCACTCGAGCTATGGCCTGACGCGCGATGTCACCCAACGGCCTCCTCAGCGAGTGTCCAATACATCTCCACTTTCTCCTGCACATATTTATGTGCTGACTATTATTGATGCTTGTGTAAAAACACACTTAATATGAAAGAATTAAAGTAGGGTAACTGTTTTAACGCCTTCGTGAAGACATTCTAAAATAGTGCTGGGGAGTTTAAGATTCTGACGCAAATCCGGTTGATTATTCTCCTGCATATTTGTTGGGCGATTGGTTCTTGTTTTGTTTGTTCCCATAGTTTCTTGTTGGTGATTCTTTCCGGCCATCTGATCTTCAGTATAGAACGGAGACAGCTGTTGATAAAGGTCTGCAGCCTGTTGGAAATATTCTTGGTGACCCGCCAAGTTTCTGATCCGTATAGAAGAACTGACTGACTTGACGTTTGTATTGAAAATCCGAATCATTTTGTTGTTGATGTTGAGTGTCGAAGATTCCCAGATTGGTTTCAGGTTGAGGAATGTGTTTCTCGCCTTCCCGATTCTCGCTCGATTTGACATCCTCGTCCGTTCCTCCTGTGGTTGAGACGATGTTCCCTAGATAAATGAATGAAGTAACCTCTTTCAAATCCCTCCCGTTGATGGTGATTGGCGCTGGATGTTGCTGTTGTTGTTGTTGTTGTTGGTTGGTTATTTTCATAACCTCCGTCTTGTCTATGTTCACTTGGAGTCCTGTCTTCTCTGGCTGCTTCTTCGACCAGTTTGTCGGTTTTCGCTTGTGAGTCTTCGACTTTGTGTGACATCAAACATAAATCATCTGCGAAATCCAGGTCTTCTAGGTTCTTCACGTCGGTCCAGGATATCCCTGTCTTCTCGTTTCCCACTATCTGACGCATAATCCAGTTCACTACAGTTAGGAATATCATTGGTGATAATAAGCACCCTTGTCTGACTCCTGTGTTTACTCCAAACGCCTCACTGAGTTTTCCGTTGTGGATCACTTGACATGTCGTGCAGCTGTTGAATAAGGTTGATGAATATTTGGGGTACGCCGTAGTAGTCGAGTAGTTCCCAAATTACTTCGCGGTCAACGCTGTCGAAGGCATTCTCAAAGTCTGTAAAGTTGAGGTAGAGGTTTGATTGCCATTCCATGCTTTGTTCAATGATGATGTGTATAGTTGCAATTTGGTCAGAAGATGATTTGCCTTTCCTGAATCCAGCTTGCTCTAGTCGAAGTTCTGTGTCCAGTGCGTCCTATTTTCTCTCCAGGAGGATGCGGCTCAGAATTTTACTTGGCGTCGACAGGAGCATGATTCCTCGCCAGTTCTTGCAGAGTCCCAGGTCGCCCTTCTTTGGTATTTTCACGAGGTAAGCTTTCCTCCAGTTAGTAGGCACTTTTCCCTCCTTCCAGACCTTTTGCAGTAATGGAGTCAACATATCTGCTGTCGTTTTTGGGTCCGCTTTCAGTGCTTCCGGGGGTATTCCATCTGGTCCAGCTGCTTTTCCAGCTTTCAGAAGCTTGATTGCATTCAAGACTTCAGCTTTTGTTGGAGGATCGGTGTCAACTTGCAGTTGTGTACGTGCTGTTGTTGGTATTTCTGGACAGGTTGTAGGTGGTGGTCGGTTCAAGAGTCCTTTGAAGTGATCCGCCCATTGTTTTATCTGTCTTTCTTCTTTGGTAATTGGGTTCCCTTGGCTGTCTTTTATAGGTTTCACTTGTGTTGATCTCTTCCCGGATAGAGACTTGGTTATCTGATATAGTGTCCTCAGGTCCCTTTTGCCTGCTGCCTTCTCAGCTTCAGTAGCCAGGTTGTCGTAGAGTTGTCTTTTGTCCTTCCTGGCAATCTTCTTCACTTCTTTGTCCAGTGCTGTGTAAGTTGAGTTCAGCGTCTCTTTCTCTTGTCCATCTTTGCATTGAATCATTTTCTCTTTCACTTTTCTCCTCTCCTCTATTAGTTTCCAAGTGTCTGTTGAGAGCCATTCCTTGTCTTGTTTCTTCTTTCTTCCTAAAACCGTTGAGCACGTTTCGTTGAAAATTACCTTCAGAGAGTTCCAATGGTCTTCCACGGATGATTCCTCAGTGGTGCCACGTAGTGTTTCCTGCTTTACTCTGACAGTTGCAGTGAAAATGTCCTGTGTGATTGTGTCCTTCAGTTTGTGAGTGTTGAACTTGCATTGTGGCCTATCCCCAGGTATTCTCGAGGCTTTCAGCTTCACCTTGAAAGTCCCTTGTACCAGATAGTGGTCTGAACCCACATCTGCTCCTCTCCTCGATCTTGTGTCCAGTAGGCTCCGTCTCCACTTCCTTGAGATTGAAATGAAGTCTATCTGGTTTTTGGTGTGTCCATCTGGTGAAATCCATGTTGCCTTGTGTATATCCCTGTGTTTGAACACACTGCCACCAATCACCAAATCATTGAAGGCGCAGAAGTCTGAGAAAAGTTCACCATTGTCGTTCATTTCACCGAGGGCCTCGCGACCCATGGTGATTTCTCTTCCTGTGTTGTCTCCTCCCAGCTTCGCATTCATATCTCCCATTAGTATTTTAATGTCGCCAGCTGGAGTATTGTCTATTGCTGCCTGTAGTTGTCTGTAAAATTCTTCTTTCGTTTCGAGGTCTGCGTTGTTGGTGGGTGCATAACATTGGATTATTGACACTTTTCTTCCTTTGGAGTTGAATCTGGCGGTCATTATCCTGGACGAGATCGCTTCCCATTGCATCAGGGCTTTCGTTGCCGTTGGTGACATCATGATAGCCACGCCCTCGGTGTGCGTGTGGTTATCTTCTGGGTGACCGGAGTAGATCACTGACTCTCCCGTTGATAATTTGGTGAGTCCACTTCCATTCCATCTGCTTTCACATATTCCCAGCACTTGGATT